TCCAAGCTTGTTGGGTTGGTGTCTACCAACATTTGTTTTTTATTTAGTGGAGGTAATAAACAATTATATAATTGCAAGGGACCACCTAGTACTTGATTGAGATCATTCACCAAAATAATAAGGATAAATTACAACGTCCTCCCTAGGTATGTTGAAAATATAAGAATTAATTATATTAATATCCCCTTAATGAATATTATTTTACATTTTTTTATCTATAAATTCATATATATTGATCTCCTTAATTATAAAAATGATAAAAATATACTACTTTTGGAGGTGGTCTGAAAGGGAAGAAAGCGATACATTCTTTTAATTGAGAGGATCAAAATGTATAGATTCATAGATAAAGAAATAAAATGATATTCATTAATAGTTGAGAGGATCTTTGTCTAAATAACTCAAAATACAAATAATTTCACAATTTTAATATAATTATTGGGATCCCTTCTGATAAGGTTAAAGCAGTTGTAACTTATGCAAACAGTGTGAGATCACAATGATAAATAAAGAAAAATATAAATTTAAGTGTAAAATTTATGACATAATCATTTTTTTAATTTATGTGACTAACAAATTATTGATGAAAAGATGGTAAATGTTATATAAATTTAAATATTAAAAGAGCCCAATGTAATTATAATAAAACTCTAGAACTTGAGGTATATTTTACAAACTTTAGGGAAGATCGTGTAATTTAGCTAAATAAAAAATATATAAAGTTGAATCTAAAGCACGATGTCAATAAATAAATAAATTAAATTAAAAAAGAAGAAGAAAAGCCTTAGCATGGTAGACTCCGAGCTTATTAATTCTCAGTCAATCTTTAATTTGTTGCTGGGTTTTTGCTTTTTAAATGAATTGAATGGTTTTATAGATTTAAAATTCACAGTACGAAATGATTGTAGTCGTGTTTCATGCCATTGACATTGAGTGATCACAGATCTGTCTATATTTGAGGTGCTAACTAGTTTTTGAGAAAAGTTATAACACAGTTTTGTCAAGGATAAATTATTAATAAGTTCTAATAGTTCCTATTGAAAATAAATTTTAATACAATCGTCGTGAAAAATAATTTTTTGTGACAATTTTTACATGACGCTAAAAATTAATAATTATTTACTTTTTTTGTCACAGTTTTATAAATTGTCGCTAAAACTTATAATTAGTGACATTTTTCTATGATGAATTTTTCAAACTATCACTACAAGTTGAAAATTCGTGACCTTTTTTTTGTGATGATTTTTTTAAATTGTCACTAAAACTTATAACTAGTGACATTTTTTCTGGTAAAATTTTTAAACTGTCGCCGAAAATTAATAATTAGTGGCATTTTTTAATAGTTCATGATGAAAAATGTAATTAATTATCATAGGATCCATTGGACAATAAGTTCACTTAGTAGGACCGACATGTAAGTCCCCTTATAACAAAATATAAGTACATATTATATAAATTAAGGAAAAAATAATAAAGAGATCTCAAAGGGCCAAAAAAGAAACCCTACACAAACCACAAAAATTGTCAAAAAAATCAGTTGCGATTCTAGGAAAATCACTAATCTAACTGATGTGGTTTGAAAAAACCAAATCTAAATTAAAATAACGCCCAAACCTGTTGATGTTGTCGTCATTGTCCTTGTCACCGTTGCCCAATTCTACCACTACCGCCATTGTCTTCTTTAAGTATGGTCGCTGTTGGAGGCCAAAGTTGAAGAGGAAAAGCACTCAAACAGTAAAAGGAGAGGAGTGAGAGAAGAACATTTGAGTGTCAAAAATTAAAAAATCTACGCAAGAAATAGGGTGGAAAGTTCTCAAACCCCTCTTCCTAGTCGTAGAAAAACCTCAAATTTACACTACATAAATACTTTTGGAGCTCATTGGAAATTCGTTGGAATATTGTTAGAGGAACACCAGAAATTTCCTAGAGAGAGAGGCTCTTCTAGCACTACTATTGGGTTTTACTAAACAAATTTAACCTTCAACTATTTGAATAAATTTTTATAATAATTTTACCATATCTTATTATTTTAGGTTTAGTTTTATTTTGAACCTCTCTGTCACGACCCAAACCCGGCCCTATGGGTTTAGCACCGTAACCGGCCAGTAATCCGATATTACCGAAGGCCTGCTTAACAGTAATACAGTAAAACAGAGTACAGGGCCTGGCGGAAGCCAATACAGTAAGTAAATAGTGTCCATTGAGCTGTGACAGTCTGAATGCCAAAAAGATTTTTCATGCATTCATGGTCACTGCTGGAGGTCAAAGTTGAAGAAGAAAAACACTCAAACAGTAAAAGGAGAGGAGGAGTGAGAGAAGAACAATTGAGTGTCAAAGATTAAAAAATCTATGCAAGAAATAGGGTGAGAAGTTCTCAAACCCCTCTTCCTAGTCGTAGAAAACCCTAAAATTTGTACTACAGAAATACTTTTGGAGCTCATCGGAAATTCGTTGGAATACTGTTAGAGGAACACCAAAAATCGCCTAGAGAGAGGCTCTTCTAGCACCACTATTGGATTTTACGAAACAAATTTAACCTTCAACTATCCGAATAAATTTTTGTAATAATTTTACCATATCTTATTATTTTAGTTTTAGTTTTATTTTGAACCTCTCAAACTTGAACCTTAACACTACCTAAGCCCTAGTCACAACTTGTCAATCACCTCCAACCACAACCAGCTCCAGTCATCTATTCCTGCTCAGTCTTAACTCCAACCATTGCCACCCCAATCATTTTTTCCTCCTCACCTTTGTAATTTCTCCATCTCTATCACATTGTGACACTCTTGCGACGACTTGTAGTGGCAATGGAAGGGTTAAGGGGTGGCACCAAAAGGTGAAGAACTTTGAAGTAGCTGGAAGAGTGCTAGTGGTAATGAGTAATAGTGAAAGTTTGGAAAGATGAGAATTAATTTTAATATTAAGTGGGATGTCTAAATTTTTTTTATAATATTTGAAATTAATTGGTGGGGGTCTAAAAAGATTATAGCAGCACTCCTATATTTTTTGTGGATTCATAATTATTTCTTCTTCTTTTTTTTCTTTTCTGTTTTTTGAATGATTGAAGGTTCGTTTGAAAAGTGACTTTTAAGATTTTTTTTTTTTGACTGAAATATAAGATGAAAAAATAAATAAATAAAATAAAGTATTTGAAAATAACTTTTTGATTTTTTTTATGCAAAATTGTGCCAAAAGTAGACAATAAGAAAGAATTTGGTATTTAAGCCAAGCAAGCCCCCAGATGGTTAAAACAAAATAATTGTATGCGGTGAGCGTGGATCGAACACGCGACCTTCAGATCTTCAGTCTGACGCTCTCCCAACTGAGCTATCCCCGCTGTGCAAAGCTTCTAGCGAGTAATATATATAAATAATATTAACGAAACATGTAACAAGGCCACTACAATGTTATGCAAAGTGCAGTGCTCTCTTATGTTTTGTTTGTATGTTCCCATTACCCCAGGACTAATAGATAAAAAAAACTTACCCTTTGATCATATATATATGTATTTTAACGTGGGTTCCTTGGGGCAATTTTAAAATCACTTGAGTTTGGCAAATGATTGTTAAGAAGAAAAAAAAAAATTGTTAAAAGATTTGTCAAAAGTTTTACTTTTGAAGTCTTACTTAACTAGACAACTCCAAAAAAAAATTAAAATAATATACTAAATTTGAAATAAGTTATTAAAAGAGAGGAAATAAAATAAAGCCACTTTTCTAGAATTTTTTTTCTTTTCAAATTTAGTCCATTTTAAAAAATAAATTAGTTTCTTAATCAAGAAAGATATGTATGTACTGATGAAGCAATGAAAATGCCATCAGTGGAAAACCAACAAAAAAAACACTAATTTCAAACTACCCCTATCCTCATTCTTCACACCAAATCCAACTTACCTTAGACTTATAAATTTTAGGGGCAGCTTGCCTCCAGTCTTTAATCGGACTGGACTATACTGTTCAACCCATGAGGGTCTACCACAAATTCCGTTTTGATAATTCGAACCGTTCAATATATAAAACTCATCAAGTAATATATGCTTATAAAAAATCAAGTTGATTGAATATCGATAACTATCTCATCTTATCAGTATTTTGACAACCGTTAATTTGTTCACCGTCCATTTTTTTTTATACAAAACTGATTTGATCACATAACTATCGATATTCGATCAATGTGATTGTTTACAGACATATAGTATTTGACGAGTTTTACACATTAAACGGTTCGGATTATCAAAATAGGACCCATGATAAGCCCCTACAAGCTGAATAATACCGTCCAATCCGATTAAGGACTGTTCCCCTATAAAATGATCATGTGATCATGCTCTTACAATAATAAATAATAATTTCATTTATAATACATTTTTTAATATTTTTTTTTAATCAACCAAACACTACCTTATTTTAAGTGTGGGTGAACCACCTTACCGAGTGAGAAGTTTGGTTCATCCATAGGCAAAATTAGATTCACAAACCTAATACGCATTTAGCTTCTACTACCTCATTTTCAATTCCTGACAATGACATTAGAACCACACCTCCATTTGACTGAAACATTTTAAAGCCAACTAATGCTAATTTTGAAAAGATAGTAAAAAGTGACTTTTTGACTTTTAACCAAGCTTTTGATTTTTTTAGACAAATGATTTGAGAAGTTAGTAAAAAATGACTTTTGACTTTTTTTCATTAATATTTGTTTATAATATCAAATCATAATGAAATGACCAAAGTATCCCTAGCCAAATGAAAAATTACACATTTTTACCCTTTCATTTTCCATCTATGGAGGGTAATTTCATAATTTTTCTTTTGGCTTATAACCAACATCCCAAATCAATTTATGGCAAAAAAAAGTCACTTTTTGCATTTTGGCAAAAAGCCAAAACGCCACTTATAACTTTCTTCCCAAATTGAGCCTAAACCAACCTTGAACCATAAACAAAAAATGAAAACAAGAAAAGAAAAGAAAAACAATATAAATTTAGTAAAGAAACAGAAAACAAAATCCCATTTTTGTTCCACATTTCATCAAGAAAAACGTTCACTTCTGATTCCATCCAATTCCAACTGAAGAGTAAATGAGGGGATAACAGGTCATTCAAGAATCTTCCCAAGTCACCATCCAACTAAAAAAAACATAAAACCTGTTCCCCCAAATATCATATTTTCAGAGTTCCAAGGTACAGGAAGAGAAAAACACTTGACCATATATATGTACTTCACCACAAACACACGGAAAGCTTTATCTAAGGCGATTTCCCACAAAAAGAAAGAAAGATCACTTATCGGCCCAACGCTAGCTTTTCTTTTCTTTTTTTTTTCTTCCTCTCTGTATTAACAATTCATCAAAATTAAGGTTCTCTCCAGGTCATCGCAAGTTTGCCACTAGCCTCCGGCCTCCCCCATTCTTCCAAGCTCCTCGAACTGGCAACCTTTCAGAAGTATCGGTATTTCCATCTGATTGTCCTAAAGTCGAATCACGCAAAGAATCAGAATTCGTAAGATCTAAAACTGCCGCCTGTGAACCCTCACCCAACCGAACTCTATTGAATTTTGAAGTTTTCTTCCGTGGCTTATTCCCTCCACTAGTTCCTGAACTTTTCTTTAATCCACCAGCAGCTGGCTCAGAATGATTTTTGACCCTCTGTTCATCATCATCATCATCCAAGTTCGTTGATTTGCCTTTGGCAGATCGGTAACCATCCTTTGACAAGATCTCAACCTCTTTAGAAGGCTTGTAATTCGACTGCAATTCTCTCAAACTGTTTATAATGCTATCTTCCAAAGCACCATTTGAGCTACTGATCCCATTATCTTCACACTTCTCTTTACCTTTTTTTGAACTTTTTTTGTGTTTCAACAGACCACTGTTATCGGCTGCGCTATTTTCCCAAGGACCATTGCCTCTCAAACTGCAAATACTGTAAGCCTCAACAAGCTCTTTCTGCTTCTGAGCATCAGGACAGAGTCTAGCTAGCTCAGGAATGAGATGTGACAGCCCAAACTGAAACACATATGCAACATATTCCCCCGTGTCAATTAAACCCTGGCGATATTCTGAAGAAATCACTTTGAAAGCAGCATATTTGTCTTCATCGAATTCTAAATCAGAGCGGATTCTCTGCACTAGAGACTTATTAGCAGTGCGAACATCTTCAGCCTTAGGTAAAGGCTGCGTGTTTTTGGTCAATTTATTAGGACGTGTTGCAGAAACAGGAGGAAACTCAGATACTGCAGGGTCTAAAGAACCTCTGTCCACAAGATTTGGAGTTGAAGTAGAATGACTGACCTTTTTGCTACTTCTTGTCTTTGTTGATGAACTGGCAGAACTAGCTGATTGTGCATCAGCAGTAGTTGATCTAATTTGCATAGAGCTTGAAAAATTGGATGGTCCAACCTCATTAACTGTTGCTGGCTTAGTAATAAAACTGGCTGACCCAGATGATAATACATGTCCAAAACTTGATATTGGTCTTAACTGGGAAGAACCAACTATCAGTGAGGTAGGTTGGCGACTAGCTGTTGGTCGAGCCTGAGATGCATTAAGGACAGTTACATGGTTTCGGTGACGAAGACGAGCAGCCATTGTATTCCTGCCCAACCCTTCTGACCCATTTCTCTGTTTCTGGTGATTGTTTCTTGCAGCCACAGGGAGTGGAGGAAAGGAAGATGTTTCCAGTGGTGTGTTGTTCCTTGAGTTTTGTCCCATGGCCTGACGGTTTCTTGAAGAAGGCTCAGAATCTGCACTAGCAAGTGATTCAAATGACTCGAGAATGGAATTGATTTCACCAGTTTCTCTGTGATCAGACTCTGTTTGGGCCCTGGATGAAGTACCACGAGGCATATTAGCGTTGGCTGTCGCAAGACTGGCTTCAATAGCCAAAGAAAGTTGACTGTCGGAATAATCAGGTTGAAAAACACGTCCTCTTCGATTTTGATCTCGCTCCCTACTACTTCGGTACTGAAAGCTTATTGGAATCTGGTTACAGAAAAAGGTAATAGAAGCACATAGTTACAGTCGAAAGACAGAAAGTCTGGAACGAAGAAGCACGGACACATGACATGTGACACAATACGGACACGAAACTAACATGCCAACAGGGAAATTTTCAATAAATGTAAAATACAATATCTGGACAAATGAAAATATATAATTTTATATAATTATGTCATATAAGGATAAATAATTAATGTGTTAAATATATATATATATATATGACTAAGTCAAATTTAATAAATTTTTCTAAAGGAAGAAAATAAATATAAATATAAATTGTTTTTGTTTATTGGATTTCAAGTTATTTTATTCACGCTAGTAATATATTTCATGTGTCTCTAAGCATCGGGAAATGTCCGACCAGTGTCATGACATGATGTATTACCTTCTTAGAAGTGTCCGTGCTTCTTAGGTTGGGACAGAGGCAAAAGGGGGGAGGGGGTGGAGCATGGAAGTCTACATGCAAGATTGGCCACGAATGTATACGCCACACACAATAAACATGCAGACAGAGATGCAAGGAAAATAAAACTAACGCTGGTGAATCAAAAAGAAATAGATAGATCCGCAAATACCTGAAAAGCAGCATTACGCTTAGAACGAGACATGCGCCCTCCGTGTTCCATCGCATTATGCCTCTACAGAAAATAGAAATAAATAATTTGGTAATTCAAAAGAACACAAAAATGGGTGTGAGAATAGTATTCAAATGAAATGAGTAATAACCACAATAAGGGATAACCTCAAAATTCAAGCCAGACAGAAAATACCATATTTTCTAGGTCACTAAGATCACCTTCATTTCAGATTCAGTCGCAAAAACAATGAACTTTTTCTCAAGGCAGGCCTCATCCTCGCATAAGAAATGTTCTTGACGAAAATGGATCTGTCACACAGACATGATTTTAATTTTAAAAACCAAGAATATGCCAGAATGCCAAAGAATGCAAGCAATTGAAAAAGAAAAGAAAATACGACTAGCCTCCAAGTCATCATAGTTCTTAAAGTAATCATACTGTCCTGGATGCTGCCTGCATGCAGCAAAGACAAAAATAGAAGTTCAAGTCAGCTTGAACTGTAAGCGAAAGAGTTGAATGAAACATTTTAACAGTACACATGGTCACTTATCAACCTTTGGCATACGTGACAAGTATAATGCTCAGTAGACATATGAGTGTACAGCTCATTGTCCCCATAAAATGGATTTCGGCAAAATTCACACATAGGATGTCCCATAAAGCCACCTCTTTCACTTTCACTGCCATCAACCTCTGAGTCACCAAAGTTTATATGCCGATTCAATTGTGCTCTAGTATACAACTTTTGTTCACATATAAATATCTGGTTCACAAATAGTATTGAAGTCAGAGTCATGACTGTGCAAATGACAAGACACAAATAAGGCTTTAGGAAAACAAAAAATGTAAACTGGAGCTATGACAAGACATGAATAAGGCTTTTGGAAAACAAAACATGTAAACAACAAATAGTAGTGAAGTCAGCGTCAGGACCGATGTCAACATAGACTTCTCCACTAAATTCCAGATTTCCCTCAAGAAGAAATGTATACTGAAGAAGAGCTTTAAACTCAATAGTCTATACACAAATTAAGTAGATCCAAAATCAAATAAATAAACATATAAAATGATTACTTCTGCAATCAATTTCACTTCAGTTCTTTGATGTACTTTAAACAGAAAAGATCCAAAAAGGAGAATCTAATAGTAAGTTGTGATGATTGGGTCCAACAAGACAATTGAGAAGAAAGCAGTAGTCATGTTTTGTAAGAGATCTATTTTACAAAATGCTACTAAATAATGAGCTAAACTTTTCACCGGCAAAAACGGATATCCACAAGTTCCTTCCAGGTACATTGCCCCAAAAGACCTTTGAGAATGCAAGATAAACAAGGCACCGTAAGAACATGCCAAAAGATATTTTTTAAACCAACTCGAAACATAGATTAAGGTCAAACATAAAACATGACCACGAATTTTGGTAAGCTTCTCAGAACGAAAACAGAACACCATGAGTTCATGGAATTAATATGCATAATCATCTAATGCATCTCACCTTCCTGCCTTCCAAACAGAGACTGCACATGAAAAGTTTATGATGGTGGAACAAATGGCTCTTCAGTTGCGCAACGTTTCTGAATTTCCCTCTTCTCTTCAAATCTTCACTGCCTTGATCATCTTTCTTGTCGCAAACATTGCACGAAAGCTTACACATTCCCGTAATCATCTTGTAATGATCCAAGTCATCAAAGAAAGCTTGTGTGCCTTCATGATACCAGTAGGGCCCAACTTGACCCTCTGTTGGATCAACTGGAAAAATGGAGAAGTCATTTATCATCCTTGTATAATCTCCTAAAGCCTGAATGAAAGGGGAGGAAGGAATAAATACACCTTATATGATGATTCAACAAGTACAAAATCAGTAGTAAATTACATAATAAGCTCACAAAAAGGCAGCATAAACAAGTAAGAAAACTGAACGACAATAGATGTAATTAATTTTATCAGCATAAATGTCAGTTTTTTTTTTTTTTCTTTTGGTCAGAATGAAGAGAAATCAAGGGAATGGAATTTATTCAATGATGATGTTCGTCATAGAACGACAATTCTCTTTTGCATCCAACAATAATGAACCCCATAACAACTCGAAGTGTCACCTTTCCCATATCCATCAAAGTCAATTTGGACAAACATAATAAATAAATCAATAAAAACAATCATGATAATTTTTTTTAAACAAGGTACACAACAAGCAAATAGAATTCAAATCTAAATTCATAACCTTGGTGACAAAGATAATATTGGATTCGGACTTGCAGATGCAGCAGCGGCGATCATCACAAATGAATCGGAGACGAGCAATGCAGGTGGAGCAGACCTCATGATGTCCACATTGTCCATATGCTGCCCACTCGAGTGTCTCAGCACAGACAGCACAAGTATCATCCATTGCTTCTCTGTGACTCAGAGTTGAAAAGCGGAAGATGAGTAGAACAAAAAAACAAAAAACTCTTAAAAATTTAAAGAAAGAAAGCTCAAATTATTTGAAATTATGTATTATGCTTTGCTTGGTAGCGGACATATGATTGAGAAGAGCAAAAGGTTTTATATGGATCTATTTGGTTCTTTTGATTCTTGCTCGAGACAAACAAAAAGGAAAGGGGTTTAAAGACCGCTCAATAAAGTAAAAATAAAACGAAATGAAATAAAACACTCAAATTTCATAATGTTAATAAATAATAAAAAACAGAAGAGCCGTTTTCCCTTTCCATTGCACCAAAGAAAACAAAAATACAATAAGCTGCAAGTTATCATTCAACAAGATAATTCTGTCAGTACAGAGAAGTAAACATTGTAACCTGTGAACATGTCCGCAAGTTATTTGTAGCGAACTACAAAAATTTAAACAACAATAAGAGCACAACAAACCATAATGATCCATCACACAGCAAAGAAAAAAAGAAAAGAAAATTAAAGTAAATCTTTCTCTAACTCTGTCTATTTAGCAGAGGATTAGCTCTTCTTCATACATCTCAATTCCCTTTCAGCGTGACATCATAAAGAGTCAAGAAGTCTATTGGTGGACATGCAATTTAACTAGCATCTAGTAGTAAGTAATATGGTCTAATCAGTTTTAGTAGAAATCAAAATTCCCATTATTAACCAGGAATTTTGTTCTGGTCCTGCAGGAAAAAATGTCCCATTGGAAAATGGACAGTTCAGAGTAAGTTTTTCCTTAAAATAAAGATATATTACCTTTGAAGTTTCTTTCTGTATTTCAGTTCTCTGGTGCAAATCCTTTTCCTATGAAGTACAACAACTCTAAATATCAAAGTAGTTGCAAATTAAACATTCCAACATAAGTTTGAAGTATTGAAGTACAGGCACCCCGAATTCTTCTATGCACCAAATTACCAAATTACAAACTCATCAATTTTTTATCAGCACACAATTTTAAAAATTAATATATATATATTGTTTATCAGTAAAAGTTTGCAAATGGAGATGGATAGTGATATATGTGAGCATGAATGCATGTGTTTGTGCATTAGTGCTTGCATGTTTTTTGTGTGTGTGCACAGAGACACACACAGAGAGAATCATGTGTCGACACTTTGGCGGACAGTCCTAAAAAGCATGTCCAACACTACTTCAAAGTATCTTAATTAAAATTTAAATTCATAATATTGGCAATTTACAACACTTCTTGAACCCTCCGAACACGACCGATGATGAATCTTTTCATAGTAACAATGTTTTGCATTCTTCAGAATGCACCTTGTGCACTGTAACTATGTTTTGAAACATTTACTAGATGAATAAATCATGTGTACTTCAATGTTTTATAACTATTTTGCATTCTTTATAATGTAATTGTTACGAATGATACCTTGATGTTTAAGTTATGGACCAAATGGTTTTGTTTTTAATGTCCTGTCATTTTTTATTATCTTTGAATAAACTCTTCATATATTTGATTTGACATCTAATAAATTTATAAAAACATAATTTTTAACATGTCCCAAACATATATTGTTCTGTATTTTTTAAATCGCCATGTTGGTGTGTCCATGTCTACACTACTTAACTTTTTTTAGTGAACAGCAAACGAAGTTATATCCCACCCGTTTAACTTTATTTTGTACCCTCAAAAACTGGGGAAACAAACACATTAAATACAGGCATCAAAAGATGGATATCCAACAACACAGCCATAATTCGATAGCTTAACCATATTATACACTCAACTCAACTCAACACAACAAGCCTTTATACCACTTAGTTAGCTACATGGATCCAGCTGATTCTATTTAAAGTCAAATCTGCAATTAGGTTTAAATTAACTATATCATTTATAACCACCTCATCCCTTATTCTCTTTGGATTTCCTCTATTTCATTTACCATCCTCCACATGGATCAACTCTCTTTTCCTCAACATGCGCATTAACTAGTCTACAATTCACATGTCAATGCATCTCAAATGGTTCTCTCTTATTTTAAATTAAGTCAATTCCATTAAATTATGTTGTGTAGTTAGACTCTCTCCTACTATTACTTTACAAACCTCACGTGGTCCTTTATCAACTCTTCTAGCAAGAAAGAAATCTATTTAGCTACGTTGTTCCACGTTCAAATGTTATTAATTCATCTCTTCTTCAAAAATAGTATTTTCTATTACAAAGTCATATGTTGAGCTGCAAATGAATAGAACTGTTCGTGAACAGGCTCGAGTTCGGCTCGGAAAGGGCTCGTTCGAACTTGATTCGTTAAATTTTTATTGCATTCGAGCTTGAACTCAAAAACTCATTAAAATCTTAATAAACAAGCCCAAACATACTAAAACTTGACTCGTTAGTTCGGCTCGTTAGCTGGCTCGTTTAACATTTATTTAAATAATAAAATAAATATATTATTTATACATTAAATAATATAAAAATATGAATAAAAAATAGGATAAATATGTTATTTATCAAAAATATATATATATATAAATGTAAATAATAGCTAAATTTATTTATATGTAAATAATAGTTAATTATAGATAATACATTTATATAATAGTAGTAGATATTATTATTTTGGTAAGATGTTAATTTTTATTTTTTTTTAGTATGTTAATGTATTGTATTTTAATTGTATAATCAAAATTTCAATTGTAATTTTAGCCTCATATGCAAGTATGAATTTATAATTTCTTTGGTTCTTTGGCACGTAAACAGGTTCGAGCTCATGTCAAGCCTAAGCCAACTCGGCTCGAGCTCGGTTCATTAAATTTTTATTGAGCTTGGACTCAAGCTCGAGCTCATTAAAATCATAATAAACAAGCCTAAACATACTACTCAGCTCGGCTCGGCTTGGCTCACCTCAGCTCATTTGCAGCCCTAGTCATATGACTTTGCAAACTCCATGATAGCACTAGTTTCATCTTTTCTTTCTCCAATCCAAAACCCTCTCGTACTTTCTCATATCCCCCACCACCCCTCCCTACATGACCATTAGATCACCATTTGATATTCCTTATATTAATCCATCCAAATCCTCCCAAAATTCACATAAATTAATAGACTCATCTAATCCCATTTAGGGTACATAAGTACTAATTACATTTAGTGTCATTTCTCCTAACATCAATTTTACTAATATCATTTTTATCTTCTTTTCTTTTAACCTCAACCTCTTCTTTTTTTAGACTTTTATGTACAACTATCTGTACTCCATTCTTATGTTTCTATATTCCTGTATACCGAAAATTTATATCATGTTCTTTCAAGTTCTCTATATTTTTTCCTAATCCATTTAGCTTCTGATAAATATATTAGTTCTCCTTCTAATCATGGAATCTATTAATTTCATCCGTAACCTGTTAATGTTAGTATGTTCCAAAATCCTAAGCAAATTCTACTTTCTTAAAATAGCATTCACCATATTTGGTTCCAAAAAATTGAGTCCACCTTTCAAAAAATTAAGTTTTTTGTTTTTTCTTGCTTTTAGTGAATTTTTATTGAGTCCACCTTTCAAAAAATTAAGTTTTTTGTTTTTTCTTGCTTTTAGTGAATTTTTTAAATATTTTATGCAAGTTTTCTATTTTTCAGATACACCTACTCTAAATACACTTAAACAGAATAACATTTTTGTTTTGGGGGGGGGGGGGGGGGGGAAAACTTGAAAAAAATATTCACCAAATAGAAAAAAAACAAAAATATATGAAAATTCAATACATTTTCGCATTTTGTTGTATTCAATGAATTTTATAAGATTTTTGTACAATTTTTAAAAATTTTTAAGTATATTAAGATTAAGTGAATCTAATTTTTTTTATTTAGAAAATTGATTAAAATCCTTTTAAAAATCATTAAAAATATAAAAATACAAATTGAAAAGTCAGAAAATTATTTTTGAAAACAGAAAACCAAACATGGTGATTTGTATCTCCCTCGTTTAGTAAAGTGTAGGAACCCTTTGCCTACTCATCATATACAAGTATTGGTGATGCGGCGCGTCTCTTCGAGGGGGTACACTCTAGTTAGCTATTGCCAAGTAGTGAACACAACAATTGAAGAATTTTTAGGATCCATGCTCATAAAGGTGTGACCATGTGGCTACAAGTTTTAATCGGTTGTCAACCTACCACAACCCTCCTTTTTCCAGGCTTGGGACCAACATTGTAAAGGATAAAACACTACATGGGATACATAACTTAACTATTGTGTAGCAGACTAACAAGTGTGAACACTTCTAATAAGGTGGCATGTCCGAGTCATGTTTGTATCAGACACCGACACTTGTCGCACATTTCCCGACACCTGTTGGACACTTGTCCAAATGTGTTGTATTATTTTTCAAAAAAAATTCAGCACGGACACTTGAGAGACACACACGCCTATCACTTAGACACACGTAAAACTACTACAAGTTTGAACAAAATAACTTAGACACAATGATAAAAGAAAAATAATGTAGATTTATAGAAATGAGTGTTATGATGCATTTTTTTATTATTTTGAACGATATATCTACATACACAACATATAATTAATATATAAAAAAAAAAAACAACGCCCAATAAGTACACATTAATGTGTGTTTGGGAGGGGAAAGATTCAGTACACACCTAACCTTTAGCATAAAGCGTAAAGTGGTGGTCCAAAGACTTGAACCCATAATCTCAAGGTTATTAGGCCAAGTCTTAACCATTATATATGGTTTTATATAATTAATATATAAAACCATATATTTTCTGAGTCTTCTTCGCATGTCTTGTCTTGCATTTTTTTCAGAAAATGGTCATACTTTTCAGAAGATTCTGCTATCAAACCCATTTATGTTTAGATTCCCATTCACAATATATTTTGAAAAATGACAAGGGTTGAGGGTATGAAACTAGATGCCCAAGGGATCTTTCGACACCAAATTGTCCTCTCTTTCACATATACCAAAAATCATTACATTACAACTTTATCTATCAAATTATTCTAGCGTCTAAACCACAAAAACAGGTAAAGAAAGGTTTTCTTTAAAAATAAAAATAAATATTGAAGAAGAAAGAAAAGCTACCTTAGATGTGGAACAAAGAATTATTAGCCATTTAAGTCAATTACAACTGAAACATAGCAAGATATTAAACTAGAATTCTATAGCCTTCCAAATAAGATATTCAGCACACAAAACATTATGTAATGAATCAATCATTAAAAAAAAGCATTAGGGCACTAAAAGAAGCAGGTGATATACTCTTCAACACAATAATTAGCATGCAAGAACACAATGAACAATACATTTGTTAGGAATATTTACTTTTTATATGGAATTCTCATCCCTCCTCTTCTAATTCTTCCTCCCTTTAATTTTTAGGCCATTGATTTTATTAAAAATAAATTAAAAAATAAAAAATAAGAGAGAGAGAGAGAGATTAGTTAACAAATCCCAATTTAAGAACCCTAACAAATTCATCAGCTCTGTAAAGCAATAAACGGGAAGTTTTTGAAATGTCAATGTGTATACATATATATGGGAGAGAGAGAGAGAGAGAGAGTACCTGAGTTTAGGGCTCGCTTGAGATCTGAGAAAAGTATCGAATTACCAATCGAGATCAGAAGAGAGAGAACAGGGCTATGAGGCAACGATCGACGCCCAAAAAGGCAGGAAGAGAGAGAAAGCTGCCCGACAACAACTACAAGAATTCATTCACTAGAGAGCTCGCTGTCCTTTTACGCGCGGTTTTTATTGGGAGATTTGAGAAAGTGATTTCAAGCAAATAGGTAGATTAAATGTAAATAAAATATATTTATATTTTAGTTTATTTTTTATGCATTTTAGAAAGATAGTTAAAAATTATTAATTTTTTTTATTTTTTGACTCCTTTTTTTTTGGTGAGAAAAGAAGTGGGTTAAAAGTTAATAAATGATTTTTAACTCACTTTTTAAAATAGGCCTTTATATAGCTTTACATACTTTTTTTTTTTTCTTTCTTTTTTCAAATTATTTTTCAAATCTCTCGATCAACTATAGCATTGGCGGTGTTTGGCATCGTGTTTGGCAGGCTATTTTAGCCTCAAATTAAAAAAAAAAAGCAAAGCTGAGGGAGAGACCTTCAGGCCAACTGGATGTCATTAACTGGGTAAAAAGACCTTTTTACCCTTCCTTGCTCATATCCACAAACCCAAAAGACTTACAATTTCAAACACCTTTCATCTCTCTCGTCTGTATCATCCCTACCTTGGGTGTGAACGGAGGGTTTGGAAGAAGAGTGAGGCTCCTCTCTCCGGCGGAACTATTGCGTAAAGACCCACCAGCTGACTGTTTAGCACGCCAATCGTCGAAGACCTACTACAAGTAAGGTATATAGACCCTATTTCTGTGTTTTTTCTTCGTTTTCGAACTTGATCTTACTGGTTTTGAACCCACTGTTTCACATCGCACTGTGATTTGGCTAGTATTTATGGTATTTAGTTTTTTTCTTTCACCGTTTTGCACCTATGATCATTTTTTCCCCTTTTGGTTTTTTTGGTTGTTCCAACTTCGGTGATTCAGTCGTCATGGGACTACAAAATGGGGTAAAACAACCGACAAATTGGAAGTGTTTTTGTTGTTTTATTTTGTTTTCTTCCTTTAAAATCTTTTTTGCATATACAATTTTTTAATTTAAATTTTTTCCTGTGACAAGCTTCTCAACAAACATGACTGCTGCCTTAATTTTTTTTTCTTTCGTGTTCTTGGTCAACAAAAAAATTGATGAGAAGTTTGTGTTCTGTTGGTTGCTTCTGTTCTCAGCAAACATTAGAAATCCTATGTTTTCATTTTTACAAAAATTTCTCTGATAGAAAATCTATTGTGGATTACTCCTTTTTTTTTTTTAATTGTCAATTTGTTTCTATACTCTGTTCAGCTAAAATGAGTATGGAAAAACGAACATCACCTAAAAACATATAAATTTGTCTGATAGAAAATCTGTTGTGTAATACACTTCATTTTTTTTTTTTTGTATGTGTACTCTTCTAGTTTGCTGAAATGAGTATGGAAAAACAAACACCACCTAAAAACCAATTTCTCTAATAGAAAATCTGTTGGCACAGTTCTCTTTGTTTTTTAAAATTTTTTATTTGTTTGTATACTCTTCTGTTCTGCTCAAATGAGTATGGAAAAACAAACACCACCTACAAACCAATTTCTCTCATATAAAATATGTTGTGCAGTACATTTTTTTTTAAAGTTCTTATTTGTTTGTATACTCTGTTGTTATGTTGAAATGAGTATAGCAGAAAAAGCATCACCTAAAAACCAATTTCTCTGATTGAAAAACTCAAAGGTGCATTACTCTTTCCTTTTTAATTTTTTATTTGTTTGTATACTCTTCTGTTCTACTCAAAAGAGTATGGCAAAACAAACACCACCTAAAAACCTATTTCTTTGATAGAAAACCTGTTGTGTAGTTCTCGTTTCTATTATTTTGTGCTCTTTTGTTCTCAGCAAACATGGCTCCTACTATGTTTATTTTTTACAAATTTTTATGATGTGAAAATCTGTTATGCACAATTAATACTCTGGTTGTTTTTTGGTTTATTTTTATTTTTGTAAACTTTGTTCTTCTAAATATGTTCTTGACACAGTTAATTTCAACTACGTAAATCTCATGGAGTTAATTTCATAATAATGTCCTTATCAGCACAACATACAAATTCATAATTGTTTTTACGTTAAATGTATCTTTACTTCATAAATTTCAACTATTCATTCAATCTATTCTGCTGTTGCAAATATGGTGTTGTTATACATTACTTACCTATTCATTCAATATGTTGTTCTGGTAAAAATCAATTGTTGTTATAAATTAATTACCTATCCAAACTCCCCCACCCGTTCATCTTGATGAAACAGGCCTTGGGGCAAAGAGGAAAAAGAGAGGTTGTATAAGTGGAAAGTCGAAGAAGATCTCCAGTAGAGCATTGCGCTGGAAGTTCTACAAAGACACGCTCAACTATGATTTTGCGTCGGTTCAGGTGCCATTGGTTGGTGCTTCAATTGCCTTATACAATTTCATCCGTAGATACAAGATAACTGGTAATGCTCACACCGAACATGTCAGATGTTCCTCAGTTCCGGATGACATGCCCATCGCGAAAGGAGGGGAAAATATGGATAACGACCTCATGGTTTGGGATACAGATGTGGATATGGCGAGAGTTCACGTTCGCATCCGCGACCATTTGTTTCACATACGGAACCAAAGGCTATTGTGAAATGCTTGTTCTGTATACGAAAGTTGTTGTATGGTGTCATAGTGTCACTCATGTATGATGACTTTTAATTATGGATGCATGGTCATTGCAAAAACTGGAACAAATTATAACGGACTTAATTATGGGAATCGAAATTGGTCGATTGTCTTATGCTATTGTAATTTGTAATTTGTACAAGTAAAACGCATATGTCGAACGAAATTAGGATTTGCATGAAATATACTGTAATGCCTAAATTTAAGAACTACAAATTAAATTTGTGTTGAAGTTGTCGTTATATGATCAATTCATTATTTTGATAATTTTGATTTGCATTTGTAATTTATATAAATTGATAGTCAAATTTCGAACAACGTTTCCAACTTAACAAGTTAACTACTTATTTTTGCACGTTAACAATAAATGTCCATATGTTTTTCTCATTCATTTGAATTTGTAATTTCTATACCTCTAACCCAAAGTTGCAGGCAACGTGACTAAGAAATATATTTTAATTTCTAATTCATGTATGGACAATGGAAATGTATAGAAAGGTAAAATACAAAAATTATATTATTTATTTCTTTAATTTTTAAAAAGAAACTAATATTTTAGGATAATAAAAATTCAAATAAAAATTAATATTTTGGTACAGAGGAAGTATAAAAATATATTATACTAAACCAAGCCAAATTAAAACTCTTTTAATAAACTAATTGGGTCCCACACTCCAATAAGGAGGTATACCCAACATGATTTTGTCAAACTAACATCATCTTAATTAATTTATTACAAACAAATTTTTTAACCCAACTGCACACATGACAGACGGTGGTAGTGAAGGCAAGCCACATGGAAATCAACTCTTTTTTTATGAATTTTTGTAAGGGCAATTTGGTCAATTTACATTCTATCATCATTTCAAACACATTTTTCAATACAACAACTCAAATAAAAATTTATCCCATCTTCCCAAACACAAAAATTAAGGGGTGTTTTGAGAAGGTGGTAAAAACTTATTTTTTTGCTTTTTTGGATAATGTTTATTTAAGTTGTCACATCATCATGGTTATATGTGAAATTACCAAACTACCCTTAACCAATGTCTACATTTCCACCAATAATACTACATCAATTTTTGTTACTAACAGGTAACTGAAATTAATTTTTGTGAGCATCAAAACAGAAGAATTCTAGCTTCTTCTTCTTCTTTTTTTTTTTTTTTGCAACGGAAAAAATTTGTAAATTTTTAAATTTACAAATTTATAACTACGACATTAATTTTTTTTTGAAATTTAAATTTACAATTTTTTTTTACAAATTGAAATTACAAATTTATAGCTCGAGCTCACGCCGATTGCGCACCAACACATTCTTAATGCATTTTCTAAATTCATTCATTTCTATGTCATCATCGCTCTCCAGGTCATGGTCATCGTCATCACCTACACTCGTTGCATTGGGCATGTTGTTGAAAATAAAATTTTCTGCGTTGGCCACCCGATTGAAAGCTTCATCTTTGTTTGAGTTACGGCGTATAAAATTATGTAGTGCCATTGAAGTCCCCACCAATGGGACTTGCACTTTTCGAAAATCATACAAAGGCATGTGATGTAGAAAACCCCATCGCGCTTTCCATACCCCAAACGTTCGTTCTATTGCACTCCGTAATGATGAGTGGACTGTGTTAAGTACTTCGTTTGCATTTCTTGCCCGTCCACCCGCACGAAACTGTTCCTGGTGATATCGACAACCCTTGAACGGGGCAAGAAACTGTTTTTGGTTTTTGTACCCAGCATTAATAAGGTAATTCTTGCTTGCATATCATACAATTTGTTTTTATTAGGAACGTTAGTTCACAAAAACAAACATAGGTAATTCAACAACATTGCCCACCCCCAACTCATCTAACCTTCCTCTAGGTGTGGGAATTGTCTTGCCAGGTCTTGTGTTACTTCGTTAAAAACTCGGCTATCGTGCATACCACCCTCCCATCCGCAAGAGATAAATGTAAAATGTAAGTCAAAATCACAAACTGCAAGAATGTTCTGCGTGTGCCGTCCTTTCCAACCAAAATATGGTGGGGCCTCCGTGGCTTTAGATTTGCCTCAACTTGTGTCCCATCTAGGGTGCCAATACAGTCCTGCAAATGCAGACGTATCATATTAATTTATTTTGGAAAGTGTGTATGTTGAAAAATGTCAAAACAAGTTTATTATGAAACGTTGCAGCCATATTAATTTATGGAAACAGTTTGTTACATTCATTTTTACGAACTGTGAGAACTTTTCACACTAACCCTGAATAGCAAATATTTTCGTTGTGACTCCAAGTACGAATGTCTGTTGTTTTGAGACCTCGTCGGTCGACTGTGTGCTCTGGTAAATTTCTTCATTGCTTTTAGCACGCGCATAAAATGACGCCACGCAGTTTCACTTGAGTGTTGGAAACGGTCTTCAATATCCCAAGTGAGGAATCCTTGCAACACGAATATGAACATATCGACACTCTCCACTACGTCCAACCCATGTGGGCACTGCGGAAGTTGGAGGCCAAAATCGACAACTAATGTGTTACATAGTGCTATAAAACACGTCCCTCGGCATCCTAAAAGTTCACATAAATGATTCTTCCTAACCTATAAGCATCTCCTCCGTCCATAATCTACCAATCAATGCTGTTGTATAAAACGGAGTCCTGTCCACATACGCATACTTCGTCACAACGCGTACAAGTTCGACCCATACCATTGACGTCATTGTTTCCATCTCCCAAATTGTCTCTCAAATCCAGGCATTAATTTCTCCATTTCTTACGACACTTGCAGAACTACCCTCTTGCGGATCCATGGAGACTGCACACCAATAAAAACAAACAAATTTTCTACAAAAACAAAAGTGGTACGCTTTGGCAAACTGAACAAAACATATACAATTCAAATAGTAAAATTAATGTGTGCCACCAAACTCACATGTTTTCTCGTTGATGATGTTATTGCTAGATGTTAAATTCGTCTTCAACTACGCCAAATATGTGACCAACACTTTCATTTCGTAATAGACCAACCTGTAAGGTAATGATGAAAGAAGTTATATTTGTTGCCTCCTCCTATAATACAATATATAGACAAGAGCCTTCATATTAATTTTTTAGCCAACAACTGTGTGCATGTGATTAATGTACTTATAGGTGTACATGTCCCACCACAGTCCAACACACACCGGACATGATTCCATCCATACACATCCAAATTTGTACCTTGTCACATGCAACCTGGGTAGTGCAGTCCAATTACAAAATTTGACAAGCCCATACACTGGGCTACTGACATCAACGTTAAACCAATAGTCATTGGTAAATGACTTGGTACACAACAAATCCGTCTAGTAAGACCCATGGCAAGAAAAAAAAAATAATGGAAAATTAAAACAATTAACCAACTGCAACTGTTTTTGCCAACAACAATTCAAACATTGATACAATTAACCAACGAGTTAAAAATTAAAAAGTTGAAACCAAACCACTACTGAAAAAGAAAATATGAAAAACATAATACAAACCCAACCATAACAGTTTTTTGGCAACATCCTTACATTACATAAACAGTCCAATTAACCAAAGATTCTAAAATTTAAAAAGGTGCAACCAAACCACTACCAAATAGAAAAAACAAAAACCAAAAAACAAACGAAATTGTCATGTCTTGGTTCTTAGTCCATATTGGCGACACCATCCTGTCCAAATAAACGAACGCCACGACTACGCTCCACCATAGGTTAGTGGGTGATTACGCGCTTCTCTTTCAGCCAATTGACAATGCAATCTAATGAGAGGCCCATAAGTAGGTCACGATTATCGAGTGAATCCATAAGCGAGCAAGCGAATGAGAATAGCGGGCCACCCCCTGTAACCCAGGCACCGTCACCAACCTCGTAAGACAGTCCCCGACAGTGTTTTTGCTCTTTCCTATAACGACATACTGTGTTGTTTTCAGTTCCCTATTTTGTTTACTAACAGCCTCGACAAGGTTGTCCATGCTGCTTGGCACAGTACCAGGGGCTACCCGCTTCCGACGTTTGGCATTAGCTGAGCCATCTGTGATGGAATGGGGAGGAGCATCGTCAAACAGCGAACAATCCACCACATTCTTGCCGACACGATCTGGCACATCATGTGGTGGTGTGCCACCACTGAGAGGCCCCATGCCGCTATCAGGGGTTGCAGCATTGTCACCGGTTCCATCAACATCGCAGATTTCAGTTGGCGTCTACGCATGTTTTCCCATTGCAGCCGCGTCTGCAAACACCCTTTCTATAAGATCCAAGTGTTCTAGTGGCTTTGTCTTGAATTTTGCACATCGGTGGTTCATCTGAGCCAATAAATGTGTAACAATTAATCAAAACACAAAGGTGATTAACATAACGCAGCACAAATATATTGTTCTACTACAAATTCAGAAGTACATACCGCTTGCATTTTTGCCCACCGGTGGTCTGGGGCTGTGAACAATCCTGAGTTGTGGTCATACCCAATCCTTGTGAAGCCTTGGTTACTATCCTATAGCTTTTTCCAAGCAATCCAATCTTTCTTTAGGTTGTCATATTTATTTTTCATTTGTTTGGCAGAATATAGCAAGTCTGTTTTGTCCAGGAACTTATTCACAAGTTTCTTGTAACCAGTCATTGACAAGGAGCACAGTTGGAGGTTACCGTCCCCCATCTCTGCTATGACCAGTTGCAAAAAAAGCTTTGTGTTGTCGCTGTCCCAGGTGCATTTGTGTATCGGTTCTTCTTGGGTTGGTGTGACACCCTTACACGAGTTCTTGACGGAGTGCGGGGTGAAGTGCGAGTGGATACCATCGCACAAGCACTGTTTCACAATTATAGTTTAAACAAAAAGTAGCAAGTAAAAACAATTATTTTATAGGTACGTACGAATGTAAAATAACTAGAAAAATACATGATATAAGAACATGCAGCTAAAGTATAGTCCACATAAATTGATTGGAAGTTCATGGCATATTGGAGCCATGCAAAAGTTGGGTTACCATATAGTAGTCGACGAAGTGATAAGTACAACAAATAGAATATTTAAATACATCACATACGAAACAACATGATAACGACTACAACGCACAAAACACCAACGACTTTCCTAAGGGTACAGAGGCTCTAACCTATGCGAACAACGTCCGCACGTAACCCAATATCGACAGCAATCGCTGGGTGGTCATTACCAACACTTTCACTGTGGTACTCGTCGCACCAACCAACCCACAGAACACATCGCTGCCGGAACACAAGTGCAATTGTTAGACGGAACGAGCTTGTGTCAAAACACAAAGTGGCATATGTAGTTAACTACTACATGACACGGGCAAACATAGTATGCACGACTTGGGTTTTTGGTAGATCTCAAAATCTTTATGAGGCATTGACCAAAGGCACATGCACACATCCTTCATGGCCATGAAGAAGTGGCAATTGACATCGAAGACGCCATTTTTCTTGTTTGCATTAATAGAAGCGTACATGTCATTAACAAAGAAGTGTAACAGTGGGTCTCACACGGAAGTTGTTTCATGATGAATGATCTTTATTTCAAGCAAGTTGTTTCATGTATGTACACTATTATGGTGCGAGAAGTTGTCTCATGAAAAACCAACACGGTAGGCTAATCATACTTCCTAAAACACATTGACAACTTTAGAGTAATAACAAAAGCATTGTGAAAATCTAATTCCCAAATCGTTTAAATAAATATTAATAAAAAAAAGTCCAAATGCTTTAGGCTGTATTACTTTCCATTTCTGGTAGGTAATATAGGTGTAATGCACAAGGCTATAACATGTCATTGAATTTCAAAATTACTTGTTTATAAACTTTCAAGTTTTAAAATGTCCTTTATTGGTGTAAAATAAAGATGTGACAATGTGGCTCTTTGTCAAACATTGCTCATGAAATAGATATCCTCTCCATTTTGGGGGAGCATCTATTTACACACACCACTCTTTTTTATATACATCCTTCACACACAACTTCCCAACACACTCTCTCATTAAGTGTGTGGGAAGAGGGGATACGGTGTGTGCATATAGAAGCCCCCCCATTTTGGGTCTGACATGTACACAACTTCAACGATTAAAGGAAGGGAATGAGATTGTTAAACAATGAACTGTATTAGCAACTTAACAAAAAAAATTGTGTATGTGCACAAAGTGGCATAAACTTTGATGTCATCCCATTCAAACAAATCAATTCCGTCAACAAATAATTTTGTGGTAATTTTTTATTTTTATTTTTATTTTTTTATTGGGCTGAAACTTTGATGAGCTCTCATTGTATCGGAGGCTTGCAATTTTCAGAAAGGCTATAGGAATTTTTTGGTCCAGACAACAGGAAAACATGAACAAAGCTACACAACAGTTAACATAAAAGAATCCTTTTGGGGATAAAAATATAAGTTATTAACGCACAAATATATTTGGTACATTTGTACAATCCAACAGAGCCATATACAGAACAACAACACACCAAAACTTTGAAGCTTTCCCTTCACTGTTCTTATCAATTCTACAGGGAATACGGACATGGAGAATCGACTGATACAACGGGGACCTAGCCGATTGTCTAGAACAGAAAAATCCCCAAACATGAAACACGACAACGGTGGACTAATCGAAGGGAAACAAGCAAGATTCAACCACACATGCACAATTCCATGGACAACAGGTAGCCGTATTTGGTTGAAATTAAACAGAAAAACAAGAAATCTGGGTTTGTTTGTTCGTATGCCTAACTGCTTTGCGGCTAAGGATGGAGGCATACCTAAATCTGCGCAGACACTGACGACGCCGACGTGAAGAGTGTGGTCGGAGGCGTTATAGAGGGCTGATGGTTGAGGTGTCGGTTTGGCAAGGCGAAGTCACAGCAGCGTTGCAGTGGCACCAAAAGGAGTAGTGAGGCAAGTGGCGTCGCGATGAACATCTGTGGAAGCCCTATTGCAATGTAAAACCCTAGACAACAATGAGAGTAGTACCGTCATTTCACTTAGCCCCGTATTTTCAGAGATAGAATGGACGGGATTCACAGTGAGGGAATTAATAGTGAGGGGATTGACAGTGAGGAATTGTTAAATTATTTTTATATAAAATAATAAAATAAATAAAAAAATATAAAATATAAAATATTACTATTTTAAAAAAAATTCCCAATATAAAAAAAATAAAAAAATTTCTAATCCCCTCACTATTTTTCTAATACCATCTTTATCTCCTCCTTACCAATTCCCCTTCCAAAGGGACTACTAATACCAAGGGATTAACAGTCCCCTCCCCATCTCTCAAAACAAACACCCCATTAGTAATACCAAGGGATTAGTAATCCCAATCCCCTCCCTATAACTCCAAACAAACGGGGCTTTAGTTGCTTATAACCACACTCCCAAATCAGTTTTGGCCAAATACGTTGGCGTCTGGCGTTCGCATTTGCTACTAGACGCAGCTTATAACCATGATGCCAAAATAGGACTAAAATGACCTACTAAAATAGTCAAAAAGTCAAAAGTCCTAAAAAATAGCCACTTCCCAAACACCCACAATTTATGAGATTAAAAATAGGATAAATTGCACTTTTATATTTGCGATGACTTTTTTTATTATTTTGAGTCTTAAAATTTATTTATTTATTTATTTTGGTTCTTTATATTCTAATTTTTTTTTAGTTTATTCTTAAAGTTAATTTTTATTTAAAGTTAATTTTTATTTAAAATTAGAAAAAAAAATCATAATAATTGCCATATAACATGAAAAATATATTATTATATTATAGTTTAAATTTATGTTAGAGATATGAGTTATATATAATAAAATATTTTTATATTACGTGACTATTAATATGTTATTTTTTGTCTAATTTTAAACATAAATTAATGTTATGAGCAAACTTGGAAAAACTTAAAATATGAAGGGTCAAAGAAGATAAAAAAAATTAAGGATTAAAGTGAAAAAATAACCAAAGATAAAGGGGGTAAAATATAATTTTCTCATTATAAAATTGTTTAATGCATTTCAAAATTTTATATTATAATTTTTAAATTTAATCTAATAATAAAGTATGAATTTTTTTTTAATTATAAAAACTTATAAAATTAATTAAAATAATCAATTTCTAAAAACTGAGGTAACAAATTGGGCCCATAGAAGCCAAGCCCAACTTGATGCGCCCGCATTAGGTTTCACTTTCTTTTCTTTTCTTTTTATTTATTATAAAAACTTATAAAATTAATTAGAATAATCAATTTCTAAACTGAAGTATAAAATTAGGCCCATCTTGATGACTAGTCGAATCGTTTAAGAGGTTGTTTAGGATAATTTAAATAAATATATTTTTAAATTTTTTATGAAAATATGTATGTAAAAAATAGACAAATAATGTGATTTAAAAAATTATATTTATTTAAATAAATACACTTATTTAGTTTATACCAAATCGTGGGGTCTTTTGGGAAGGGCTAAAAAAGCCAGTTTTTAGCTTTTTACCAATTTTGGGTCACATCACCTCTCACATTTTTTACGCACAAAAGACAAAATAGACTAAAAAAGTCAAAAAATTAATTTTTTTACCAACTTTCCAAAACACTCAAAAGTCTTAAGTCTGAGCCTTTTAACTTTTAGAATCGTACATACCTATTATTGAGATTGGAAAATTTATATTATGGTCTACGGACATCACGTGATTATATCCCTAACCAATCATAAATCATTATATTCTTATTATTTCCCAATTACCCAACACAGACTTTTTTATTTTTTTTTGAAAACACGTGTAAAAAAGTAAAGAGTTGATGTGACCTAAAAAATTCAAAAAGTTAGATTTTAACCAGCTTGCCAAAATGGCCCAAAATCGTGAGTATCATCCTCCCAACCAAGCACAACACACTTGGGACATCACGTAGCAGTGCCCTGGACCACCAAATAACTTCTCCGAGATTGAGACCTAGGCCTATTTGGAAACTTATCTATTTTAGTTGACTTTTTAGCAATTTAACTATTTTAACCAAGCTAAAAAAATGTTTGTAATAATAATTTTATTTTTTGTAGTTGATTTAATGATTGTGAGAAAAAAAATAAAATAATTATGATTTGAATGTGATATTTTATTTTATTAATTATTTTAATTTATTTTACTTTTATTAACTATTTTAATCAAAAAAAAACCCGACAAACCTAGGTTTCCTAAACAGCACCATAATATGGATCTTTGCGTTGGATCAAGTTATGAGTTAATTTTGAAAAACCCATTTTTCTGAGGCTTATGGGTTGATCCATGGGCCCTACCCTTAGCCCAAGTATAGCCCATATTATATATTTTAAAGTCGGTCCATCATTGAGCCAGGATCAGGCTAAAGACTGAGAGCAAGGATCTCTTCTTTGAATTTCTTACTTAATTTTTTATTTGATGGGCCATTAGGTCTACTTTTAAGCCAAATTTTGATGATTCGAGCCGTTCATATTTTATAATTTGTCATGTATATCACACCTGTAAAATCGAATATCGGATGAACTAAAAACCGTTTATTAAAAAAAATTTAATAAACAATTTTATTGTTTAATAAAACTTTTAATTCACGTGATTTTTGATATCCGATCGACTTAATTTTTTACAGTTATGATATACATGACAAATTATAAAATGTGAACGGTTCGGATCATCGAAATTGAGCCCAAAAATGGATCCAATGGCCCATCAAGTAAGGAGTCAAGTAGAAAATTCAAGGAGGAGATCCTTGCTCAAAGACTGAGCCATGGATTTTTTTATGACGCTCAATTGAATCCCTTTCCAATAGATTTTTTAAGGGAGAGTTTGGATTTGGATATGGATTGGAGAGGTGCACACTGGCTCGTGGGTTGGAATTGTTTATCTTAGAAGACTTATGAATAGATTTTTAAATTTAAGGGAGAGTTTGGATTTTTAAATTTTTTAAGGGAGAGCTCGGATCGTTAAATTTTTATTGAGTTCGGATTCAAGCTCGAGCTCGAGTCAAGCCTAAGCCAACTCGACTCGAACTTAGTTCGTTAAATTTTTATTGAGTTCGGATTCGAATTCGAACTCGTTAAAATCTTAATAAACAAGTCTAAACATACTTGGTTGAGCTCATTTGGAGTCCTAGTCATATGACATTGCAAACTCCATGATAGCACTAGTTTCATCTTTTCTTTCTCCAATCCAAAACCATCCTGTACTTTCTCATATCCCTCACCACCGCTCCCTACGGGACCATTAAGATCACCATTTGATATTCCTTATATTAATCCATCCAAATCCTCCCAAAATTGGCATAAATTAATAGACTCAGGTAATCCCATTTAGGGTACATAAGTACTAATTACATTTGTCATTTCTCCTAACATCAATTTTACTAATATTATTTTTATCTTCTTTTCTTTTAACCTCAACCACTTCTTTTTTAGATTTTTATCTCCAACTATCTGTACTCCATTCTTATGTTTTGTATTCCAAAAATTTAAATCATGTTCCTTCAAGTTCTCTACATTTTTTCCTAATCCATTTAGCTTCTCATAGATAAATATATTAGTTCTCCTTCTAATCATGGAATCTATTAATTTCATCAGTAACCTGTTATTGTTACCATGTTCCAAATTCCTAAGCAAATTCTACTTCCTTAAAATAGCATTCACCATATTTGGTTTCAGAAAATTGAGTCCACTTTTCAGAAAATTAAGTTTTTTGTTTTTAGTGAATTTTTTAAATATTTTACACAATTTTTTTATTTTTTAGATACACCTAATCTAAATGCACTTAAAAAGTATAATATTTGTGAAAAAAAAAAAAAGACTTGAAACAATTTACCAAATACAAAAGATACAAAAAAAAAGATCATGAAAATTCAATACATTTTCGTATTTTGTTGTATTCAATGAATTTTATAAGATTTTTGTATAAATTTTTTACTTTTTAAGTATATTAAGATTAAGTGAATCTAAAAAAATTAAAAAAAAAAATTGATTAAATTTTTTTTTAAAAATCATTAAAAATATAAAAATACGAATTGAAAAGTCAACAAATTATTTTTAAAAACTAAAAACTAAATTTGTATTTCCCTCGTCTATTAAAGTGCAAGAACCCTTTGCCTGCTCATCATATCCGAGTATTGGTGATGCAGCGCGTCTCTTGGAGGGGGGACACCCTAGTTAGCTATTGCCAAGTAGTGAACACAACAATTGAAGAATTTTTAGGATCCATGTTCATAAAGGTGTGACCATGTGACTACAAGTTTTAATCGGTTGTCAACCTACCACAACCCTCCTTTTTCCTGGCTTGGGACCAGCTTTGTAAAGGATAAAACACTACATGGGATGCATAGCTTAACTATTGTGCAGTAGACTAACAAGTATGAACACTTCTAATAAGGTGACATGTCTGAGTCATGTCTATATCAGACACTGACACTTGTCGCACACTTCCCAACACCTGTTGGACACCCGTCCAAATGTGTCGTATTATTTTTCAAAAAAAATTCAGCACTGACACTTGAGAGACACACATCTATCACTTAGACACACATAAAACTATTACAAGTTTGAACAAAATAACTTAGACACAATGATAAAAGAAAAATAATGTAGATTTATAGAAATGAGTGTTATGATGCATTCTTTTATTATTTTGAACGATATATCTACATATACAACATATAATTAATATATAAAACCATGTATTTTCTGAGTCTTCTTCGCATGTCTTGTCCTGCATTTTTTTTCAGAAAATGTCTTACTTTTCAGAAGATTCTGCTATCAAACCCATTTATGTTTAGATTCCCATTCACAATATATTTTGAAAAATGACAAGGGTTGAGGGTATGAAACTTGATGCCCAAGGGATCTTTCGCCACCAAATTGTCCTCTCTTTCACATATACTAAAAATCATTACATTACAACTTTATCTATCAAATTATTCTAGCGTCTAAACCACAAAAACAGGTAAAGAAAGGTTTTCTTTAAAAATAAAATAAAAATTGAAGAAGAAAGAAAAGCTACCTTAGATGTGAAACAAAGAATCATTAGCCATTTAAGTCAATTACAACTGAAACATAGCAAGATATTAAACTAGAATTCTATAGCCTTCCAAATAAGATATTCAGCACACAAAACATTATGTGATGAATCAATCATAAAAAAAGCATTAGGGCACTAAAAGAAACAGGTGATATACTCTTCAACACAATAATTAGCATGCAAGAACACAATGAACAATACATTTGCTAGGAGTATTTACTTTTTATAAAGAATTCTCTCCCCTCCTCTTCTTATTCTTCCTCCCTTTAATTTTTTGGCCATTTATTTTATTAAAAATAAATTAAAAAATAAAAAATAAGAGAGAGAGAGATTAGTTAACAAATCCCAATTTAAGAACCCTAACAAATTCATCAGCTCTGTAAAGCAATAAACGGGAAGTTTTTGAAATGTCAATGTGTATACATATATATATATATATATACATAGGAGAGAGAGAGAGAGAGAGTACCTGAGTTTAGGGTTCGCTTGAAATCTGAGAAATGAATCGAATTACCAATCGAGATCAGAAGAGAGAACAGGGCTATGAGGCAACGATCGACGCCCAAAAAAGCAGGAAGAGAGAGAAAGCTAACCTACAACAACTACAGGAATTCTTCACTGGAGAGCACGCTGTTCTCTTACGCGCGGTTTTTATTGGAAGATTTGAGAAAGTGATTTGGGAATAAAAGGGAAGAAGGTAAATGTAAATATATTTATATTTTGGTTTATTTTTTATTTATTTTAGAAAGATAGTTAAAAATTAATTTTTTGACTTTTTTGTGAGAAAATAAATGGGTTAAAAGTTGAGATATGACTTTTAACCCACTTTCTAAAATAGGCCTCTATATAACTTTATCTACTTTTTTTCTTTTTTTCAAATTACTTCTCAAATCTCTCAATAAAATATAGCATTGGCGGTGTTTGGCATTCGTGTTTGGTAGGCTATTTTAGCCTCAAATTAAAAAGAAAAAAAAAAAAAGCCATGTAGCCTTTACTATAGTTGAGGGAGAGACCTTCAGGCCAACTGGATGTCATTAACTGGGTAAAAAGACCTTTTTACCCTTAGTTGCTCATATCCACAAACCCAAAAGACCTATAATTTCAAAGGCCTTTCGTCTGTCTCATCTGTATCATCCCTACCTTGGGTGTAAACAGAGGGCTTGAAAGAAGAGTGAGGCTCCTCTCTCCGGCGACTCTTACTCCAGTAGAACTATTGCGTAAAGACCCACCTGTCGACTGTTTAATGCGCCAATCGCCGAAGACCTACTACAGGTAGGGTATACTGACCCTATTTCTGTGTTTCTTCTTCGTTTTCGAACTTGATCTTGCTGGTTTTAAACCCACTATTTCAGATCGCACTGTGATTTGGCTAGTATTGATGGTATTTAGTTTTTTTTTCTTTCACCGATCTGCACCTATGATCATTTTTTTCCCCTTTGGTTTTTTTGGTTGTTCCAACTTTGGTGATTCAATCGTCCTGGGACTAGAAAATAGGGCAAAACAACTGACAAACTAGAAGTATTTTTGTTGTTTTATTTTGTTTTCTTCCTTCAAAATCTTTTCTGCATATACAATTTTTTAATTTAAATTTTTTCCTGTGACAAGCTTCTCAGCAAACATGACTGTTTCCTTAATTTTTTTTCTTTCGTGTTCTCGGTCAGCAAAAAAATTGGTGAGAAGTTTGTGTTCTGTTGGTTGCTTCTATTCTCATCAAACATCAAAAGTCCTATGTTGTCATTTTTACAAAAATTTCTCTGATAGAAAATCTGTTGTGGATTACTCCTTTTTTTTTTTTTAATTGTCAATTTGTTTATATACTTTGTTCTGCTGAAATCAGTATGGCAAAACAAACACCACCTAAAAACATATAAATTTGTCTGATAGAAAATCTGTTGTGCAATACTCTTTTTTTTTTTTTGTGTGTGTGTACTCTTCTGGTTTGCTGAAATGAGAAACACCACCTAAAAACCAATTTCTTTTATAGAAAATCTGTTGGCACAGTTCTCTTTGCTTTTTTTAAATTTTTTATTTGTTTGTATACTCTTCTGTTCTGCTCAAATGAGAATGGCAAAACAAACACCACCTACAAACCAATTTCTCTCATGCAAAATCTATTATGCAGTACATTTTTTTTTATTTTAAAGTTCTTATTTGTTTGTATACTCTGCTGTTCTGCTAAAATGAGTATGGAAAAAAAAGCACCACCTAAAAACCAATTTCTCTGATTGAACAACTCAAAGGTGCATTACTCTTTCTTTTTTAATTGTTTGTATACTCTTCTGTTCTGCTCAAATGAGAATGGCAAAACAAATACCACTTAAAAACCTATTTCTCTAATAGAAAACCTGTTGTGTAGTTCTCGTTTTCGTTATTTTGTGCTCTTCTGTTCTCAGCAAACGTGGCTCCTACTATGTTTATTTTTTACAAATTTTTATGATGTGAAAATTTGTTGTGCACAATTAATACTCTGGTTGTTTTTTGGTTTACTTTTATTTTTTTAAACTTTGTTCTTCTAAATATGTTCTTGACACAGTTAATTTCAACTACGCAAATCTCATGGAGTTAATTTCATAATAATGTCCTTATCAGCACAACATACAAATTCATAATTGTTTTCATGTTAAATGTATTTGTGCTTCATAAATTTCAGCTATTCATTCAATCTATTTTGCTGTTGCAAATATGGTGTTGTTATACATTACTTACCTATTCATTTAATCTGTTGTTCTGGTAAAAATCAATTGTTGTAATAAATTAATTACCTATCCAAACTCTCCCACCGTCCATCTTGATGAAGCAGGCCTTGGGGCAAAGTGGAAAAATGGAGGTAGTACAAGTGGAAAGTCGAAGAAGATCTCTAGTGGAGCATCGCGCTGGAAGTTCCTCAAAGGCATGCTCAACTATGATTTTGTGTCGGTTCAGGTGCCATTGGTTGGTGCTTCAATGGCCTTACACAATTTCATCCGTAGATACAAGATAGCTGGTAACGCCCACACTGAACATGTCAGATGTTCCTCAATTCCGGATGACATGCCCATCGCAAAAGGAAGGGAAAATATGGATGACGACCTCATGGTTGGGGATACAAATGTGGATATGGCGAGAGTTCACGTTTGCATCCGCGACCATTTGCTTCACATACGGAACCAAAAACTATTGTGAAATGCTTGTTCTATATACGGAAGTTGTTGTATGGTGTCATAGTGTCACATATGTACGATGACTTTTAATTATGGATGCACGATCGTTGCAAAAACTGGAACAAATCATAACGGACTTAATTTTGGGAACCGAAATTGGTCGATTGTCTTATGTTATTGTAATTTGTAATTTGTACAAGTAAAACACATATGTCGAACGAAATTAGGATTTGCATGAAATATGCTGTAACGCCTAAATTTAAGAACTACAAATTAAATTTGTGTTGAAGTTGTTGTTATACGATCAATTCATTATTTTGATAATTTTGATTTGCATTCATAATTTATATAAATTGATAGTCAAATTTCGAACAACGTTTAAGTTAACTACTTATTTTTGCACGTTAACAATAAACGTCCATATGAATTTCTCATTCATTTGAATTCGTAATTTCTATACCTCTAACCCAAAGTTGTAGGCAACGTGACTAAGAAATATACTTTAATTTCTAATTCGTGTATGGACATTGGAAATGTGTAGAAAGGTAAAATACAAAAATTATATTATTTATTTCTTTAATTTTTAAAAAGAAACTAATATTTTGGGATAATAAAAATTCAAATAAAAAACTAATATTTTGGTACAGAGAAGTAACAAGTTTTGGGTATTTATTTCTATAGTGAGATTTGTTGGTATTAATATATGTTAGTTTACTAATTAATATACAAATTTTATTATAAATTTGTGCATTGATTTTGTCAAACTAACATCATCTTAATTAATTTATTACAAACAAAATTTTGAACCCAACTGCACACATGACAGACGGTGGCAGTGCAGGCAAGCCACATGGAAATCAGCCCCTTTTTATGAATTTCTGTGAGGGCAGTTTGGTCAATTTACATTCCACCATCATTTCAAACTGTTAGGTTTTATTTCTTGGCAATCCCGTTTGACAAAACTCCTTTGAGCTGTAATTTTATTCGCATTTTTATTTCAGTGAGGCTATGAGTTGTTAGATGCGAATCCAACCTGAATCAAGCCTTTCAGAGAAGTTTGTGATGCTAATGCTTTCAAGATTGCCACTTCGCTGATTATGACGAGGATCGAGCTGCCCGGTCAGCTCGCGGGGGTCCAGGGGGCAGCGCCCCTTGGCGGGTCCGGGGCAGCGCCACGGCGGGGTCGAGTGGCAGCGCCCCTGAAGCAAAATGCAAAAATGCATTCCAAGTTGCCTGTCTGCTCGAGCGGACATTACCACGCTCGAGCGGAGAATGTTGGGTTTCAGAAGTTTGTCAGGTCTGTAAAAATACTGGAAGGTGTGATTTCGCGCTCGAGCGGGTTCTCCAGCGCTCGAGCGGACCTCTGTTATATCACGCGTAAATTTTACTGAAGACGCTCGAGCAGGATGTTGGGCGCTCAAGCGGACCGCGCGAACACTGTTTTCCAGATTTCAATAAGGATTGGGTTTTCTTCCAAATATAGGATTACTTTTTGTTTTTCTATAAGTAGTTGGTTTTCTCCCAAAAACTAGACTACTCCTAAAGTCCTCCAGATCTTATTTTTTGGATTCTAAGGTGTATATCTGGGGAAATTTTGTTAGTTTACTTTGATGTTTTATTGAGTATTCAACTCATGGTTTAAAGAGAGTACATCAAAGGTTGTGTTTTGTTCTACAAAAGAGAGAGTTGTTCTTCGGTGGATTCTGAAGAATTCGAGCCTGAAGCTTTGGTGGATTCCAGGGTGGCTCATCGTAAAGACAATTCCGAGGTGAAGACGGGTTGGAAGAGGCACATAGAAGTTGGTTCAATTAGGCGTGGATTCACTAAGTAATTGAGAGTATACCTGTGTAATTCCTTTAAATCTTCTTAGTGGATTGTTTTGTGGCTGTTGCCCGTGATTTTTTTTATCACAGTTGGAGGTGTCCAATTGTGGTTTTTTCCACATTAAAATCGTTGTGTCTCTTTATCTTGATTGTTTGATTGAGATTGTTATATTCTGCTTAAAATTGATACATAATCACAAATCAACATCTAGGGGATTTCTAGATTTTTCACAAACATATTTTTCAAGGGCTCTGCTGGAGACCCCCAGTGCCACATGAGGGGCTGAAAACCAAAAAAAAAAACAGTTTTTTGGGCCAATGAGAAGAGACCCCCAGCACCCCCACTGGGGTCTCATGCATTTTCCTATTTTTCAATACAACAACTCAAATAAAAATTCATCCCATCTTTCCAAACACAAAAATTAAGGGGTGTTTTGGGAAGGTGGTAAAAAACTGCTTTTTGGCTTTTAACTAAGTTTTTTTTGCTTTTTTGGATAACATTTATTTAAGTTGTCATATCATCATGGCTATATGTGAAATTACCAAACTACCCTCAACCAATGTCTACATTTCCACCAATGATCATGTACCAATTTTTGTTACTAACAGGTAACTGAAATTAATTTTCGTGAGCCTCAAAACAGAAGAATTCTAGTTTTTTTTTTTTCAATGAAAAAAAATTTGTAATTTTTTTAAGTTTACAAATTTATAACTACGACATTACTTTTTTTTGAAAATTTAAATTTACTTTTTTTTACAAATTGAAATTACAAATTTATAGCCCGAGCTCACGCCGGTTGTGCACCAACACGTTCCTAATGGATTTTCTAAATTCAATCATTTCTATGTCATTATCGCCTTCCGAGTCATGGTCGTCATCATCACCCACACCCGCTACATTGGGCATGTCGTTGAAAATAAATTTTTCTGCATTGGCCATCCGGTTGAACGTTTCATCTTTGTTTGAATTGCGTCGTATAAAATTATGTAGTGCCATTGAAGCCCCCACCAATGGGACCTACACTTTTCCAAAATCATACCGAGGCATGTGATGTAGAAAACCCCATTGCACTTTCCATACCCCAAACGTTCGTTCTATTGCACTCCGTAACGATGAGTGGACTGTGTTAAATACTTCGTTTGCATTTCTTGCCCATCCATCGGCACGAAATTGTTTCCGGTGGTATCGGCAGCCCTTGAACGGGGCAAGAAAACCTTTTTGGTTTGTGTACCCAGCATCAATGAGGTAATACTTGCATGCGTATCATACAATTTGTTTTTATTAGTAACGTTAGTTCACAAAAACAAACATAGGTAATTCAACAACATTGCCCACCCTCAACACATCTAACATTCCTCTAGGTGTGGGAATTGTCTTGCTGAGTCTTGTGTTACTTTGTTAAAAACTCGACTATCGCGCATACTACCCTCCCATCCGCACGAGATAAATGTAAAATATAAGTCAAAATTACAAACTGCAAGAATGTTCTACGTGTGCCATCCTTTCCGACCAAAATATGGTGGGGCCTCTGCGGCTTTAGATTTGCCTCGACGTGTGTCCCATCTAGGGCGCCAATACAGTCCTGCAAATGCAGACGCATCATATTAATTTATTTTGGAAAGTGTGTATGTTGGAAAATGTCAAAACAAGTTTATTATAAAACGTCGCAGCCATATTAATTTATGGAAACAGTTTGCTACATTCATTTTTACGAATTGTGAGAACTTTTCACACTAACCCCGAATGGTAAATATTTTCGTTGCAACTCCAAGTACGAATGTATGTTGTTTTGAGACCTCGTCGGTCGACAGTGTGCTTTGGTAAATTTCTTCATTGCTTTTAGCACGTGCATAACATGACGCCACACAATTTCACTTGAGTGTTGGAAACGGTCTTCAATATCCCAAGTGAGGAATCCTCGCAACACAAATATGAACATATCAACACTTTCCACTACGTCCAACCCATTCCGGCATTGCGGAAGTTAGAGGCCAAAATCGACAACTAATGTGTTACACAGTGCTATAAACACATCCCTCAGCATCTTAAAAGTTCGCGTAAATTCTTCATCCTGACCTATAAGCATCTCCTCCGTCCATAATCTACCAGTCAATGCTGATGTATAAAACGGAGTCCTGTCCACATACGCGTACTCCGTTTCAACGCATGCAAGTTCGACCCATGCCATCGATGTCATCGTTTCCATCTCCCTAATTGTCTCTTGAACCCAAGCATCAATTTCCCCATTTCTTACGACACTTGTGAAACTACCCTCCTGCGGATCCATGGAGACTGCACACCAATAACAAACAAACAAACAAATTTTCTACAAAAACAAAAGTGGGACGCTTTGGCAAAGTGAACAAAATATATACAATTCAAACAGTAAAGTTAACTTGTGCCACCAAACTCACATGTTTTCCCGTTGATGATGTTATTGCTAGATGTTAAATTCGTCTTCAACTGCGCCAAATATGTGACCAACACTTTCACTTTGTAATAGACCAACCTGTAAGATAATGGTGAAAGAAGTTATATTTGTTACCTCCTCCTGTGATACAATATATAGACAAGACACTTCATATTAATTTTTTGGCCAACAACTATGTGCATGTGATTAATGTACTCATAGGTGTACATGTACCACCACAGTCCAACACATAGAGGACATGATTCCATCCATACACATCCAAATTTGTACCTTGTCACATGTAACCTGGGTAGTCAGGTGCAATTACAAAATTTGACAAGCCCATACACTGGGCTACTAACATCAACGTTAAACCAACAGCCATTGGTAAATGACTTGGTACACAACAAATCTGTCCAGCAAGACCCATGGCAGGAAAAAAAAATAATGAAAAATTAAAACAATTAACCAACTGCAACTGTTTTTGCCAACAACAATTCAAACATTAATACAATTAACCAACGAGTTAAAAATTAAAAAGTTGAAACCAAACCACTACTGAAAAAGAAAATACGAAAAACATAATACAAACCCAACCATAATAGTTTTTTGGCAACATCCTTACATTACATAAACAGTCCAATTAACCAAAGAATCTAAAATTTAAAAAGGTGCAACCAAACCACTACCAAATAAAAAAAACCAAAACAAAAAAACAAACGAAACTGTCATGTCCTGGTTCTTAGTCCATATTGACGGCACCGTCCTGTCTAAATAAACGAATGCCATGACTACGCTCCACTATAGGTTGGTGGGTGATTACACACTTCTCTTTCAGCCAATTGACAATGTAATCTAAGGGGAGGCCCATAAGTAAGTCACAGTTATCGGGTGAATCCATAAGCGAGCAAGCGAATGAGAATGGCAGACCACCCCCTTGTAACCCAGGCACCGTCATCAGCCTTGCAAGACAGTCCCCGACAGTGTTTTCACCATTTCCTGTAACCACGTACTGTGTTATTTTCAGTTCCCTCTTTTGTTTACTAACGGCCTCGACAAGGTTGTCCATGTTGCTTGCCACAGTACCAGGGCCTACCCGCTTGCAACGTTTGGTATTGGCTGAGCCGTCTGTGGTGGAATGGGGATGAACATTGTTAAACAGCGAACAGTCCACCACGTTCTTACCGATACGATCTGGCATATCACGTGGTGGTCTGCCACCACTGAGAGGCCCCATGTTGCTATCAGGGGTTACAACATTGTCACCGGTTCCATCAACATCGCGGATTTCAGTTGGCGTCCACGCATGTTTTCCCGTTGCAGCCGCGTTCGCAAACACCCTTTCTATAAGATCCAAGCGCTCCAGTGGCTTTGTCTTGAACTTTACAAATCGGTGGTTCATCTGAGCCAATAAATGTGTAACAATTAATCAAAACACAAAGGTGATTAACATATACGCAACACAAATATATTGTTCTACTACAAATTCAGAAGTACATACCGTTTGCATTTTTGCCCACCACGGTTTGGGGCTGTGAACAATCCTGAACTGTGGTCATACCCAATCCATGTGAAGCCTTGGTTACAATCCTATAGCTTCTTTCAAGCAATCCAATATTTCTTCAGGTTGTCATATTTATTTTTCATTTGTTTGGCAGAATATAACAGGCTGGTTCTGTCCAGGAACTTATTCACAAGTTTCTTGTAACCACTCATTGACAAGGAGCACAGTTGGAGGTTATCGTCCCCCATCTCTACTATGACCAGTTGCAAAAAAAGCTTTGTGTTGTCACTGTCCCAGGTGCATTTGTGTATCGGTTCTTCTTGGGTTGGTGTGACACCCTTACCACGAGTTCTTGACGGAGTGCGGGTGGATGCCATCGCACAAGCACTGTTTCACAATTATAGTTTAAACAAAAAGTAGCAAGTAGAAACAATTATTTTAGAGATACGTACAAATGTAAAATGACTGGAAAAATACATGATATAAGAACATGCAGCTAAAGTATAGTCCACATAAATTGATTGGAAGTTCATAGCACATTGGAGCCATACAAAAGTTTGGTTACCATACAGTAGTCAACGAAGTGATAAGTACAACAAATAGAATATTTAAATACATCACATACGAAACAACATGATAACAACTACAACGCACAAAACACCAACGACTTTCCTAAGGGTACGGAGGCTCTGATCTATGTGAACAACGTCCGCACGTAACCCAACATCGACAGCAATCGGTGGGTGGTCATTACTAACACTTTCGCTGTGGAACTCGTCACACCAACCAACCCATGGAACATAGCGCTGCCCGAACACAAGTGCAATTGTTAGACGGAACGAGTTTGTCTCAAAACACAAAGTGGCATATGTAGTTAACTACTACATGCATGAATGAGAGGTGATACGCACCGTTGGACACAGGCAAACATAGTATGCACGACCTAGGTTTTTGGTAGATCTCAAAATCTTTACAAGGCATTGGCCAAAGCCACATGCACACATCCTTCATGGCCATGAAGAAGTGGCAGTTGACATCGAAGACACCATTTCTGTTGTTTGCATTAACAGAAGCGTACATGTCATTAACAAAGAAATGTAGCAGTTGGTCTTACACGGAAGTTGTTTCATGAATGACCTTTATTTCAAGCAATTCGTTTCATGTATGTACACTATTATGGTGTGAGAAGTTGTCTCATGAAAAACCAACACTGTAGGCTAATCATACTTCCTAAAACACACTAACAACTTCAGAGTAATAACAAAATCATTGTGAAAATCTAATTCCCAAATCATTTAAATAAATACTAATAAAAAAAAGTCCAAATGCTTTAGGCTGCATTACTTTCCATTTCTGGTAGGTAATATAGGTGTAATGCACAAGGCTATAACATGTCATTGAATTTCAAAATTACTTGTTTATAAACTTTCAAGTTTTAAAATGTCCTTCTTTATTGGTGTAAAATAAAGATGTGATAATGTGGCTCTTTGTCAAACATTGCTCATGAAATAGATATCCTCTCCATTTTGGGTCTGACATGTACACAACTTCAACAATTAAAGGGAGGGAGATAGATTGTTAAACAATGAACTGTATTAGCAACTTAACAAAAAAAAATTGTGTATGTGCACAAAGTGGCATAAACTTTGATGCCATCCCATTCAAACAAATCAATTCCGTCAACAAATTATTTTGTGGTTAAAATTTTTTTTTTAATGGGCCTGAGACTTTGATGAGCTCTCATTGCATTGGAAGCTTGCAATTTTCAAAAAGGCTATAGGAATTTTTTGGTCCAGACAATTGGAAAACATGAACAAAGCTACACAACAATTAACATAAAGAATCCTTTTGGGGATAAAAATATAAGTTATTAATGCACAAATATATTTGGTAAATTTGTACAACCTAACAAAGCCATATGTAGAACAACAACACACCAAAACTTTGAAGCTTTCCCTTCACTGTTCTTATCAATTCAGCAGGGAATACGGACATGGAGAATCGACTGATACAATAGGGACCTAGCCAATTATGTGGAACAGAAAAATCCCCTAACATGAAACACGACAACAGTGGACTAATCGAAGGGAAACAAGCAAGATTCAACCACACAGGCACAATTTCATGAACAACAGGTAAGCCGTATTTGGTTGTAATTAAACAGAAAAACAAGAAATCTGGGTTTGTTTGTTCGTATGCTGAACTGCTTCGCGGCTAAGGATGGAAGCGTACCTGAATCTACGTAGACACCGACGACGCCGACGTGGAAGAGTGTGGTCGGAGGCGTTATAGAGAGCCGATGGTTCAGACGTCGGTTTGGCGAGGCAAAGTCACAACAGCGTCACAGCGGCACCAAGAGGAGCAGTGAGGCAAGCAGCGTCGCGATGAACATCTGTGGAAGCCCTATTGCAATGTATAACCCTAAACAACAATGAGGGTAGTACCATCATTTCACTTAATTGCTTGTACCCACACTCCCAAATCAGTTTTGGCCAAATACGTTGGTGTCTGGCGTTCGTGTTTGCGGCCAGACGTAGCTTATAACCATGATGCCAAAATAGCACTAAAATGGCCTAGTTAAAAAGTCAAAAGTCCTAAAAAATAGTCATTTGTCAAACACTCAAAATTTATGAGATTAAAAATAGGATAAATTGCACTTTTATATTTGCGATGACTTTTTTTTATTTTTATTTTGACTCTTAAAATTTATTTATTTTTTTATTCTGGTTCTTTATATTTTAATTTTTTTAGTTTATTCTTAAACTAAATTTTTATTTAAAATTAGAAAAAAAAATCATAATGATTGTCATATAACATGAAAAATATATTATTATATTAGAGTTTAAATTTATGTTAGAGATATGAGTTATATATAATAAAATATTTTTATATTACTTGACTGTTAATATGTTATTTTTTGTCTAATTTTAAACATAAATTAATATTAGGAGCAAACTTAGAAAAACTTAAAATATGAAGGGTTAAAGAAGAAAAAAAAAATTAAGGATTAAAGTGAAAAAATAACCAAAGATAAAGAGGGTAAAATATAATTTACTCATTATAAAATTGTTTAATATTGACATGATCGATCAAAATTCCAATATTTAGAGCTTGTATGGCATGAGGGTTTTGATGAAAATAGTCAAAATGTTAAAACATCCAATCACATCACTTTCTTTACTTTTTACACATCTTTTCTTAAAACACAAAACAATTAATTAAAATAATCAATTTCAAAATATCAAATTAGGCCCATAGAGGCCAAGCCCAACTTGACGTGCTCGCATTAGGTTCCACTTTTTTCTCCTTTTTTTTTTGATTTTATTCTTTTTAACTTATAAAATTAATTAAAATAATCAATTTTTAAACCGAGGTATCAAATTAGGCCCATCTTGATGCCCCCGGGGGGTGGGTGGTGTGAGGTGACCTATTGACTAGTCAAATCGTTTAAGAGGTTGTTTAGGATAATTTAAATAAATATATTTTTTAATTTTTTATAAAAATATGTAAAAAAATAAATTAGGGAGATAATATGTGATTTAAAAAATTGTACTTATCATAATAAATACACTTATTTAGTTTATACCAAATAGTGCTTAAGTCTGAGCCTTTAACTTTTAGAATCGTACATACCTATTATTGAGATTGGAAAATTTATATTATGGCCCACGGATATCACGTGATTATATTTCTAATCAATCATAAATCATTATATTTTTACTATATGCCAATCACCCAACGTGGAAATTTTTTTTTTTTTTTAAAACGTGTAAAAAAGTAAAGAGGTAATGTGACCCAAAAAATCCAAAAAACCAAAAAGTTGGCTTTTAACCAACTTGCCAAAATGGCCCAAAATCGTGAGTATTATTCTCTCCACCAAGCACAACATACTTGCGACATCACGTAGTCGTGCCCTGGACCACCAAATAACTTCTCCGAGATTGAGACCTAAGCCCTGTTTGGAAACTTAGCTATTTTAGTTGACTTTTTGGCAATTTAACTATTTTACCAAGCTAAAAAAGTGTTTGTAATACTAATTTTATTTTTTGTAGTTGATTTAATGATTGTGAGAGAAAAAATAAAATAATATTACATTTTATTTTATTAATTATTTTAATTTATTTTACTTTTATTAACTATTTTAATCAAAAAAAGGACAAACCTAGGTTTCCTAAACAGCACCATAATATGGATCTTTGCGTGGGATCAAGTAATGAGTTAACTTTGAAAAGCCCATTTTCTTGAGGCTTATGGGTTGATCCATGGGCCCTACCCTTAGCCCAAGTATAACCCACATTATATATTTTAGGGTTTTTCACTGGCTGGTCCTGAGTTTTTCACTTATTCCCCTCTTAGTCTTGACTTTTGATCTTGTGCAACAGGTCCTAAGACTTTTTTTTGGTACCGTTTTACCCCTTCTCTATTCTGGTGCGTTTCTGTTTGGATTTTCCATCAAAATATTGTGTTTGTGATTTGGATTTCTGTGGAACTTCACGATTTGCTGCTGTATCTTCGCGATTTGTGGAGCTTCGTGATTTTTGATTTCGCAATTTGTGGAGCTTCGTGATTTCTGATTGCGTGATTTGTGGAGCTTCGTGATTTCTGATTTCGCGCTTGGTGTATCTTCGCGATTTGTGATTTGTGATTGCGTGTTTGGTGATTCTTCCTATTTGCGATTTTGCGTTTGGTGTATAGCTACATTTTCTGATTTGTGGTGTTGTGGAGTTAGGTTGATTGGTATGTTTGATTTTGATTTTGATTTCAATTTCAATGTTTTGGTTCATTTTAGTTTGAGTTGGTGATTTTGATTTTGTGGTGATATTGTTGTTACTCTATTGTTTCTGTTGCGATTGGATTTGTGTTTTGATCATGATATTGAAAGTTTTGAGATATGCATTTGTTGATTGAATTTTAGATTTTTATTTTTTTTGGTTACGAAATTGTGTTGATTGAACACAGGTGTTGGTTTGTTATTTTATACAGTGATAATTTTATCACTGTGTATTTTGGGGGTGATGTTAGATTAACTTTTTCAACAGTGATAAATTTATGAGTGAGTATGGGAATAGGAGATAATTTTATCACTGTATTTGATTTTGTTTTAGGGTGTTTGAGTTGTTTTCTGAAATGTAATTGTTGTTTGTTGCAGGATTTATAGTGATGGAGAATTGTTTGTTTCTTATGTGCAAGTTTAGAGGTGTGACATTGGTTATCAAGTATAATAATGGATTTAATTTCAAGGATTTAGTATATAAATTGTGTGCAAAGTGGAGTGAGTTGGTTGGTAGTTTTTTGAATATATCGTATTCAAGGGCTGGACATTCTTCTTGTGGTCTAGAAAGTGAAGAGGATTTGGAGGTCATGGTTAGACTGGCATTTTCTTGTGATATTCATCGTATTGATGTTTTTGTAAAGTGTTGTTCTTTGGGTGAAGGTTATCTGATTTGTGATGGTGAAACTAGTAGTAGTAGTAGTAGTAGTGTTGTTTGTGAAACTGATTTTTTGCCTTCATTTTATTCAAATCAATGGAAACCTTTGCTCTCCGATGGGTGGGTTAATTGTATGAAAGGAGTGGGACAAAGGTTTGCTCAAGGAGTTGTTGAATTTCGAGATGCGTTGTCAAAGTATTATATTCATTCCGATTTTAATTTTGATTTTGTTAAGAATGATAAGGATCGTGTCACTGTTCATTGTAAGAGAAGGGCTGATTTGGGATGTTTATGGAGCGTGCATGCTAGAGTGGAAAATTATAGTAAAGCTTTTGTTATTAAACAATTTGATGATGTTCATACTTGTGGATCTTCTTTTCGTACAATTAAACATGCTAGGATGACTTCAAGTATGATTGGTGGGCTAATTTCTAGTGATATTCGTAACAAGGCTTTGACATCAGTTAGTGAGGTGGTTTGTGATTTTAAGGACTATTATGGAACAAAAGTTTCTTATCGGCGATCTTGGATGGGTGTTGAAAAAGCAAAGGGTCTTGTTTTTGGTGACTATTCATCATCATTTGACGATCTTCGTTGGTATGTTGATGCCGCTAATGCTTGCAATCTGGGGAGTGTTTTTGATATGGAATTTGATATTGATAGTAAAGGAAGACATTTCAAATGCTTGTTTTTCGCTTTTGAGGCATGTATTCATGGTTTCAAGTATTGTAGGCCTGTGTTGATGCTTGATGGAACTTTTTTGAAAGGAAGACACAAAGGTTGTTTATTGGCTGCTACGGCGAAAGATGGTAACCAAGGTATATTTTGTGTTTATGTGTTATTATTATTGAAATAGTGATAATTCTATCATTTTTGTTACTGGAGAGTGTTGATAATTGAGTATGGTCAATCTATTAGTGATAAATTTATGTTGTATACTTTTTGTTAAATTTTTATATTTATACAGTGATAAATTTATCTATGGCTGGTGCTATATGTTATATACTTTGTGTTTTGATTTTCTTTTTGTAATCTTTTTAATTTGTTACTGATAACTTGTATATATATATTTTGTTTGTAGGTTTGTATCCGTTATGTTTTGCGATTGTTGATGGTGAAAGTTATGACAGTTGGCATTGGTTCTTGTCAAAGTTATTAGGTATTTTGACTCTGGAGAGGGATATTGCGTTTGTTACTAATCGACATAGAGGTTTGCTGAAAGCTTTAGCTGAGGTCTTTCCGTTTTCTTGCAATTCTTTTTGTCTAATGCATTTGAAGAGAAACTTGAAGACTTATTTGTCAGTGAAGAGTCGTGAATCAAAAGAGTATTTGCTTACTCTTTTTAGTAGATGTGCATATGCTCCTACTATTGAGTTGCTTAATGAGCTATTTGAAGAATTTAAAGGTCGTTGTGGTCGTAATGTTGAGAGATTTCTTGAGGATTTGCCTAATGAGTGTTGGTGTAACGCTTATTTTCAAGGCAAGAGGTATGGTGAAATGTGTACAAATGCTGCGGAATCTTTTAATTCATGGATTAGGGATGAACGTCATTTGTTTTCAACTAGTCTTGTTGATGCTATACGGGTGAAACTAATGGAGCAATTTTCAAGAAGAAAAGAAGTTGGGAATAAGTGGAATCGTATTGTTTGTCCTTTTGCAGAGAAAAAGTTGGAAGAAGCTTTTAATGATACAAAAGCATGGATAGTTAAGAAATGTAGCGATGACATTTATGAAATCCAATTGGATCATTCAGTTATGGTTGATATTGGGAAACGTTGTTGTTCTTGTCGATTGTGGGAAATTGATTCTTTTCCTTACAAACATGGTTTTTGTGCTATAAAGAGGAGTGAGAAGGATCTGAATTGCTTTCTTGATGATTACTACCGTGTTAGTAGTTATTGTGATTCTTATTCACATTCTATCTATCCAGTTCCAAGTATGTGGAAGCCAAATGTAGTTGTTGATGATGACGTTGTTTTACCTCCTCTTTGTAAAAGACCAGCTGGACATCTAAGAACGGAGAGAATACCTTCTAAGGGCGAAATCAAGAGAATTAGATGCAGTAGGTGTGAAAAGATGAGAACTCATAATCGGAAGACATGTAAACAAGCTTTGTTTTAGTTG